TTCTGGATCTTGATCTCTTCCCCCCATTTTTAGAGAAGACCAACCAGCACTCCACATAGGGATTTGAGCAAGCAGAGCCTGGGCCGTGGTGAGTTAATTAATGTTTGTCAGGAGAAAGGGGGGACTCCGGGAACGGGAAACAAGACAGGAAAACTCCAAAGTAGGAAAATCGAGCCAGAAAAATGTCCATTTAATTTTAACCTTGACACCTTGGATTTAATCTTCCTATTATCCGGGACCACTAAACAGTGGATATATGACACGATCTAACTAATAAACCTCAACGCTTAAGTGAGAATTCTTTAAAAACTTACCTACACAGAGTAAGTGAATGACAGCCCAGAAATATCCATCTGGATCAAACTGTAACACAAGATTGAAAAAAACACACACACAAAGGCTGTAGGTACAAACAAGTTCCAGCGTGGCGATCAGAAACCCTAAGTGTCAGTGTGCAGTGCCAAGCATGGTGCCAAACGGGACCCTGGGGCCGTGGGCCAGTCCCTCCTTATTTCTCACCCAGCCGCCTCTGACAGCTTCCTAACAGGGCTCCCTGCCCCAGTGCTCTTCCCCATCTCCCACCCTCCCCACATCGCATCTCTAAAAGGCAGCTATGACAGTGTCACTTATTGCTTAAAACCATCCAACGGTCCCCCAGTGACTTCAGGATGAAATCCAAACTCAGGGCACCCAAGAATCCCTATGATGAGCCCCTGTCCTCCCAACAAGTCCCGTCCACTCCCATCCACTCCCTCTTCCTACCTTTTTTATTTTTCCCACTTATCTCATCTGACACACTCTATTTCACTTATGATCCATCTCTCTCTCCGCCCACAACTAGATGATCAATGCCAAGAGGGCAGGAATTAGCCCAGGGGTGCACACACAGTAGGTGCTCAATAAAGCTGAATCACAGAACACTGAGGATGCCTCCAGGGCTCTGTCCACACCTTCTTCTACTCCTGGCTCTCTCCTTCTCACCTTTCAAGATTTAGGTCCAATGAGGCAAGCCTGGCTGCAGCATCAGAAAGATCTGGGTTAAATTCTAAAATCCCCATTTCCTGGTTAGCTGTGACCTCCTGGGCCTCACTGTTCTTCAGCTATGAAATGCAGATAACAGTAGCCACTGCCCTTGTGCAATTGTGAGATGAAATACAAAAAGGCACGTGAAGCCCTGGCACAGAGCCTGGCACACAGCCAGCCCCTGTAATCGTCGGCTATTCCTGCTCCGAGCCTCCGAGTCTTCCCCGGTGCCTCGCTGGGTCCCACACCCCACTGGACAGAGCCCTGGCCTCCCTGTGTTATAATTATCTGTTTCTCGCCTGCTCCCGCCCCTTTGCTCTGCCTAGACTCCGACTTCTGCCTGGACCACTCAATTCCTCTTTGTGCCCCTAGAGCCTGGCTCGGTGCCTGACACTTGATGGGGGCTTAATAAATGCTGGGAAGAAAAGAAAGAAAAAAAGCCCCTACAATGAGATGATGAGTGGCGGTGGCTGGAGGCGGGTGGGGGGGACGTCCTCAGTGCCTGGTAAAGAAACACTCAGGACAGCAAAGTGAAAATCGCTGTGCCGATGAGGCCCTCGGGATGAGAGGGAAAAGGCAATTCCATCTCAGTGAGCGAGGCTGGGGCAATTTGGGCCTGCAGGTTCTCCAAGCACGTACGGAGGGCTGACCGCTCCCATCACGGCGCCCAGAGGCCCGCGCTCTGCTGGCCACGCTGCTGCAGCCTTGCGAAAAGGCACAGACCTGAGGAGAGGTGTTGGCCTGGCCCGAAGGTCTCCCAGGGCCTGAAAGTTGGCTTTTAAATGCCTCTGCATAGGCAGGGTTATCCAGCTTCTCAAAGGAGGGGCTCGAAAATTCTGCTCATCCCCGCAGGCTTCAGAGACACTTGAAAAGCAAAGTGAGTCTACCTGAGCTTACCTGGGAGTCACTGAAGGGCAGGCACCCTGCAGCGGCCAGGAGGAAGAGGGCACTGTGGAGAGGAGATAAAATAGGCGGCTTCACTTTTAACGTCAAGAGCATCCAGAGAGCGAGAAAGTTGACATACATGGACTGGAGCTCAGATGAGACAAAGAGCCCGCAAGACCAAGCCCCGTTCATCCTCTGAGAACCTCGTTACCCACGTAGTGTTCAACTATGTGCTCTGCTTCTCTCTCGGGGACAGTCCTTCTCTGGGGCTCAGCTAGCCTTCTTCGCAGAGAAGGGCATTCGCAGGACGTGTGCAAAACCACAGCTGGCTCACTTGAGAAAAATAGTATATACAAAAGGAGATTTTTTTTTCTTAACTATAGATCCCCAAAAATACACTCATGGAAAATTGGACAATCAGACTACAATTATGCCACTTGTCAATAAGAAACACCATGGGAAGCACATTACAATCTAATCGCCTTATCCAAATGATCAAACTTAACATCTCCTATAGTGGGAGGGACAGATCCACACCATGTGCCTCCCGATATGACGCACTGATGATGCACGCGGTGTTCCTCCAAATGTGCACAACCCGGGGCTGAACCACAGGAAATACAGAGACAATCCCCAATTCAGGGAGAGTCCATAAAACAAGGGGCGCACACTACTTAAATGTGCGAAGGGAATAAAAGGCCAAGGAAGTGTTCCAGATTAAAGGATACGAAAGAGACGGGACACCTTTGGGGGAAGAGATCGCTATAAAAGACAGTAGTGGGATAATCGGCCAAATCTGAACATGGACGCAAGGTTACATAACAGTGCCGTATCGGATGTTAATTTTCTAAATTTAATCGCACTGTGGTTACACAAGAGATTGTTATATTTAGGAGATATACTTTGAAGTATCTAGGGGTAGGGTCATAATCTCTGCAACTGATTCTCAAATGGTTCAGAAAAAAATAAGCACAATGATAATTACATATTATAACCTTACATATTCTATGTGATATATATGTATACGTATGGAGAAAGAAAGCAAATGCAAAAAATGTTAACTAATGGGTGAATCTAGATAAAAGGTATATGGGAGTTCACTGTAATATTCTTGCAACTTCAGTATAGGTTTAAATTTTTTTCCCAACTAAGAAGTTTCATTGGAAAAAAAAATCTCTTCTATATAATGAAGCATTTACAGATGAAACACTATGACGCCTGGGGTTTGCTGAAATGAGGCACTGAGTGGACCCTTAGGCTGAAAACTGTTGAAGGAGGGTGATGAGTGTACAGAGCTTCACCAGACTATTCTGTCTACTTTTACACATGTTTAGAAATGCCCATGATAAGTTTTTTTTTAATTCTTGCACACAAAGTACATTGCCAATCACAGATATTTTCACATTTTCCTCATTCATTAAGAAAGTTGATTTAGAGATTTTTTTGGTTTAGAAATCAGTGGGTTTTATATGGTTTATGGGTTTCATATACCAAAATATCCTGGCCTCTGTCTTTTCCCAATCATTCTCTCCTCCCAAAGGAAGGTACCAGAAAACACAAACCCCAAACTGTCACATGCTCTTTCCCCCTCTTTCCACTTTATGATGCAACGACATATACAGGGTTGGGCTCCTTCACTACTGACCGTTCCATCAGGGGGCAAACAGCAAAGGACCAAGGACATGAACGGAGGCAGTGAATGCAGCATTTCCACTGTTATGGGACTTTATCATATGACATCTCACACCAAGATATATTCTATGTACGTATTGAATTTGATTATGTATTTACATATACATGCGTAATACACAACGACCTGATAGTCACAGCCTGGCAACAGTGATGCTTATCAGTTCTGCCCACAACCCCTGACAGTCCTCACTGTTGTCATCACACGTACCCGAGAGACTAGCAGAGGGACCCATACAGAGGAGTCCTCGAGGCTGGGGCCTCACGGCCTTGGGAAGGGCAGGGTGACACGGGACATCCTGAGGCACAGGAAGGTCTCCATTCCAGCCCACCCTACTCCTTTGGCCTTGCCAACTTTCAAGGCACACACACAAACAGCCTCCAGGAGACTCCTTGGCACCAGACTGTCAAGGCACAGGCCGGGGGGAGGGGGACGAGGGGTGAGAGGCTGTTAGGAAGGGTTTCTGGGGACTGCACAGGAACAGGCAGGTTGCAGGTGGGAGGAGAGGACCCTCATGGCTTTGGCGTCTGCTTTGTAGGATGCAGGATGCTTCCCCATCCACAGGCAGTGAGCGTTCTTTGGATCCCCTCAAAAAGACAACCCCTTGGGGCTCAGGAGAGACAAGAGGACAGCCAGGTGTGAGACAGCGCCTGGTTTCCCACCAAACTTGGCCTTGAGCAACACCTGAGTACATTAAGCACGAATGGGTTTTTTGATTGATTTACTCAGATGAATATATTTACAGCTATTTACAAAGAAATGGGACATCCTTATGCAATGTGCATTCACACCTGAAATATTTACCATATGGCGTTTCCTTTATCAGGAAGAAGGCTACATCAACGAATGGGTTTTAATGTCTTTCTTTAACACCAGCTAATCTTTTAAACAAGAGGAAGAGTCCTGACGGTGGGTTTTGGGGGTTTTTTTTCCCCTTCAAATAACAGCCTGTTCTAAAGGCAAAAAAGGAGATTGGATGAAAACCCAGAAACATCTGAAACAAAAAGTCCGAAATCCTTGGATCAAAGCATCTCTGTTGGTTTTCTATCTACAGGACTGAGTGTCACAGCTACTGCGGTGCTGTGACAGGAAGCTGTCAGGGAGCAAGGCAACCAGGCCGGAGTTAGCACAACAGGGGCACCGGGATCTGCCCAAGGGTCCGGCCCAGTTCATGTTTCAGCCGGGGAAACTGAGGCACGGAGGGGCGTGAAACCTGCCCACGGTCACTGTGCTGTGGCCCAAAACCATGACTCAGATACCTGGACTCACAGTGTTTTTCCCACCATGGGAAATCTGAAAAACCCAATAAACCGCAAATATTATTTTTAAAACGTAAAGTCATTTTCATGTTTTCCATTTTCATTCTCCATCGGTATTGCACAACTCAGTGAAGTTTTGGACATCGATGAATGAAATCTAGCACGGGTTGTTTTCCCCTGAAGAATAAAATATTTCAGGGAAAAAAGGAGTAAATTTTAGAATAAGACATAAAATAGGGATATATGAGTGTTTGTAATAAATTCCTCTGTAAACTCTCAAGTACAAATCATCAACAGACAGTTTATCATCGAAGTTTAAAGTCAGGTTAAATCTGTTTTAGAGGTTTGTGGAGTTTTGTTTTTGTTGTTTTTCTTTAACTTACCTACAGATCTTTGCAGGAGATGTTTTCTGTATGGAAATAGAGACATACAATTAGTCTTTAAAAACTCTTTTTTGTTCCCCTTAAAAGAAAATGTTTAGATCAAGAGGCACATAAATTACAAGCAAGTTTATTGGGGGCTTAAAGCTTACAGCACTTCAGTATTTATTGAGGTCTTTTTCTGCTTGGATCAAATGAAGGATGACTCAGAGGTCCAGGGTTGAGTCACTTCGGCCAAGCACTCTGGATGTGCAGTTTTACCACTCTCACCATTAGAATTATGTTTATGAAGAAAGCAAAATGACTCCAGGCCCAAGCCTTCCAGCATCTTATACACCATGAAAAGGAGGGAGACAGAGAAATCGACATACCCTGCATAGGAAGAGAAATTCAGCTCTTGTTCAACTTCTAGTCCAGCCTGTCTCTTTAAATTTTCCTTTCATTAACCCAGCTCTGACTCTGAGCAGTGCTATAAATTCTCTGGTATGATGTGTAAATTAGGAAACAGAAAAAAGGAGAAGGGACATTGGACTCCACCCCTAGAGGGAAGGGAAAAAGGGCAGATTGGGAAAATCAAAACGTGGCATGTAAAGCGATCTGAAATGAAGAAATTCTACTGCAGACTCCACCTTTATTACCTCCTCTTTATTAGTCAGTTTAAGAGATTCAGTCCTTGACACTTGGGAAGAAATCTCGAGCAGGGAGAAGCACAGATTTTTCTAGATCTGATAGGAGAAATGGTCAGGAAAGATAACAGATAAATTCTGCACATTTCAGAAGGATTATTTTACTAGTTGAGGACAAACTATGATTTTTTTTAACTCCAGTTCAGATAAAGTGTGAAGTATGAACATACTGTTTAAAAATGAAGCACTCAAAAAGTCTAAACTTCCAGTTATAAAATAAGCAAGTCCTGAGGTCATAACGTACAAGCATGGTGACTATCGTTAATAACACTGAGTTGTATATTTTAAAGTTGCTAAGAGAGTCGATCTTAAAAGTTATCACAAGGGGGAAAAAATGTAACTATGTGTGGTGATGGATGTTAACTAGGCTTATTGTGGTGATCATTTCACAATGTATATAAACAATGAATCATTGTGTTGTACACCTGAGACTACTATAACGTTACATGTCAATTATATCCCAATTTTTTTTTTAAGTGAAGCACTGGCAAGAGGAACATGTGGTTTGCTATGAAGGCTACCCTCAGTTTTCATGTGTGACTAAATAATCCAGTTTGCTTTGTAATAAAAGGCATGATGTGTGTGTACAAAACAGTGGCTCTCGACTTCAGATCCTTTTTATCTTTTATATGTCATCTCTCATCTTTGTGGAACCTGTCTCAGCAGAGTCCAGAGGCAAAGCCAACACTGACTCCACTGCCCCCTGGTGGGGACACACGTCCCTTCAGTACAGAAAGGATGATACCCAGAGGTGACCTGACTCACACCTGGATAATTGCTCCCATCCTGGGAAAATGAGTTTCTGAAAGATTCTGAGCTAAATATAGCCAACATCTCCAGGATGCGGAGAAAAAGTAGAAACGGAGAGGATGGAAAAGGGTGCTCCAACTCTTCCACGAGTAACATGTTCACCAGCAGCTGCTTGGGGGCTTCAGTTACTGGGCAAGAAGTCAACTTAGTGCCTGAAGGAGTTCACGCATTCCACAGAGGAGAAAATCCTTTTTATTTTAACCTCCTCTGACTAACGGAGCCCAGAACCTGAGATATGGAGGGTGAAAACAAGCAATAAATTCATTACTGAACTCCCCTGCAACCAGGGCTCCAGAAACAAGCCAGGAATTCATGTCAGGGATTCATCTCAGACCCCTCGGTCCTCAAATCACTCCTTGATAAGTCCCAACAACATCTCAGCTCCGAATAGGTCAGTATAACTCCTCCAAAGTCATCCTGCCAAAAGTCATGGTCAGTAGTTCCCGTCACTCTGGCTCAGCTGACTCACTCCGAGGGCTGCTCGCTCTGTCTAAGCACGCTACACGTATGGCCTCATTTTGCTACGGGTTAGTGAACAGTCTTGGCTTACAAGCTACAGATGAGGATGCTGAGGCACAGAGAAATTAGGTCAGCTGCCCAAGGGCACAGGGGCTAGGCCCAGCGAGCTAGCTCCAGAGCTTGACCTTTCCCAACACTACTCTGCACAGCCTGCCTGCCAGTCCCGCAGGGACACCCACCGGCCCCTGCCACAAGCCTTCATCTGCGGCTTCCTCTCTGCCTGAGTGCCCTTTCTCCCTGACCACCCAGAAAATTCCTGCCCGTTAGTGTGACTGGGTTCAAATCTAGCCCCTGGCCCTTGCAAGCAGACTTGCCAGTGGTCACCTCCCCCCGGCCATTTTGATGTGAATCCATCTGCAATAGGCAGATGTAAGAAAAAAGGAACTGCCAAAAGAGGTACCAAATAAAAACCACCACCAATATCATTAGTAACCATAGCTAATGAGGACAAAGCACCTACTATGAGTCAGCAAGTGTTGGGAGCATTTATCGGCACCTGCGCTGCATGGTGTCTTCCCAGCTACTCCTTGAGTGGGTGACGTCACCCTCCCCTTTCACACACGGAGCACAGAAGGTGAGGGGATCTGTTCCAGCTGGTGTAAGGCAGAGCTGGGGCTGGGAAGAACAGAAGATTTCCCGGGGTTGGGCTGAAGCTCGCAACACCCTGTGGGAAGCTCGCTGTAGATTTCCTCAAGGTGCTGGGATGCGGTGAGGGGAATGCCCCCCAACCCCAGGCCCACAGTCAACTCCACCTCGGACCCCCAGGCCCTGGCTCAGCACTGGCCTGAAGCTGAGCTCCGTTCAGACGAACAAGGAGCCCCATGTATGTCTGGAGAACTGAAGGGATGTCAAAACTGTGATCCTTGAAATTAGTGACCACCGTCAGGCAGTCTTGACTGGAAACAGATGGCAGGAAAAGGTAGACGCTAATCTGGGCCATAAATAAAAAGCATGTCTTTGAAATTTCAAGCCAGGGAAGTGAAACTTGCCTTTTGCATTGTCATTTACCTCTTTCCGAAAACATTTCTGGTGCCCACAGATGATAACTTCAGCTACATTATGCAAAGTCAGAAATACAGGAATGGCCTGAAAGAAAACAAAAGAATAAGCATGAGAATATTTTCTTTGATCTCATAATTACATAATTCTTGATTTCTGCTTAAAAATAAAGATCTGTGGGAACTTTTGGCATTCACATACACACTCGTCTCCAGCAAAACCTCTTCTGCGTGGATTAGTGGTCTTGCTTGTAGCATTTTGCAGAAGCTCCCTCCTACAAGTATTCTCATCAATATACATTTATTAAGCACCTGCTGTATGTTGGGCACCATGCCAGGTGCAGGGGACACATCCCACGATGACCTCTCCACCCTTCTCTTCCCTTCTTTTCCCTTCCACACTATGTTCTACACGGGCTGCTCCCTCCCTCTGCCAGGCCCTTGTGTGTTCCTCTGCCTCCTTGTCTCTTTTTGTTGGGCTCACTCTAGTTCATCATTCTGCTCTCATTTAGACATTGGCCTTCACTTCCTCCGAGAAGGTATGCTGTCCCAACACTGGGTAGACTGAAAAAAAGCCCTCCAAAACACAGCTGCGTCCTAACCCCTGGAACCCATGAATGTTACCTTATATGGTAAAAAGGGGTCTTTGCAAATGTGATTAAGTAGAGAATCTGGAGGTGGGGGGTTTACCCTGGATTTCCCAGGCAGGCCCTAAATACAAACACTTGTATCCTCCCAAGAGAGAGGCAGAGACCTGACATACACAGAGGAGACCCCAGGGGCAGAGGCTGGAGTGATGCAGTCACAAGCCAAGGAACCCGACAGCCACCAGAAGCTGAAAGAGGCATGGAATTGATTCTCTCCAAGAGCCTCTGGAGGGAGCACAGCCCTGCTGACACTCCTTGAGTTCAGCTGGTGATACTCGTTTCAGACCTCTGGCCTCTAGAACTGGGAGAGAATAAATTTCTGTTGTTTTAAGCCACCCAGCTACATGGTAACTTGTCACCGCAGCTACAGGAAACTGGAATACAAGGAATGACAAGATGGTGGCATGAACTTGGCAGTGGCAGTGAAGATGGAGAAAAGCGGCCACATCAAGGGCATATTTAGGAGACTGAATGGAGGTAAATGTTTGGATAACTGGGATCAACTCTGTACCAAAAAAAAAAAAGGGTGAGTGGAAGAAGGCATAAAAAAATGTCACACTCCAGTGGGTTATCAGGATACACAGAGAACCCACTGCATGTTGACTAGCGCTGGGCTGTTGGGGCAGGACAGCAGTCGCTCCTAATTTGATAGAGAATCTTAACAAGGTAAGGGGGAAGGATTACCGGGCAGGGATTTTGCTATTGTCTCTGTTGTTGATGATGGCGATGTTTCCTGGAAAGCAGAAAAGGATGGAGAATACGCATGGGTCTTGGCATCATCCTGAGCTTCAGCCTCCAGCTCCACCATCTGCTAGTGGAGCACTTATCCGGACAGTTTGCTCCTCTGCAGGATGAGGATAACAATACCTACGACCTGGAGCTACTGGGAGGGATGATGGAAAACTGCGAGGAAGGCTGTCAACATTAACAGGTACCAAGCCCGCTCTCAGTGGCCTCCACGGAGGACCCTGAGCTGGGAAACTGTTCCAGCTTCAAGGGCCCTTAACTGAGTCTTTAACCAGATGCTGCTGCTCGCCCACTTCAAGATGGATTTATTCTTTTTTTTTTTAATAGACTTAATTCTTTCAGAGCAGTTTCAGGTTCACAACAGAATTGAGAAGAAAATACAGAGTTTGCACATAGCCCTCCCCACCCACACAGATATACTCCCCTACCCTCGACATCCCTCATCGGTGTGGCACATTTGGTACAATCGATGAACATACATGGGCACATTATTTCCAACCGAAGTCCATAGACGGATTTATTCTTTATCTTTTGAGAGGATATATTTTTACCTTGTCTTTAAGACTTTTAGAACTTTGTAGTTCTGTCCTATTTCAGTATTTTGCTCTAACTTGCACTGTTTCATTTCATTCTGAGTTCTTGCATTACATTTTTCTTGCCTTTTTAACATTTTGTACTCTTTTTCATTAAAAGCTCAACTCAAACTGTTTTTTACTTTAAAAATCATATTCTATTTTAATCACTTTCTGTTTTTCATTTGCCTTTTGTGCTTCTTTTATGTCTCTTAAATTTTTATATTTTGAACTATTTTTTATGTGTTTTAAGGTTATTAAAGAGTTTTCTTTAACTGGCTCTATCCATTAGGCCCATGTTTGGAAAACTCAGGCCCTGGACTTCTAGGTCTTTCTTCTAGCACAGAAAATCTTGGACAGGGGGTCCACGGCAATGTAAATGAAGGAGCGGCCTGGATCCTATTTATTTAAAATTAAGACCTGATTTTAAACGCTTTTGCCTCCCTGACTGTAAAACCAGTAAGGGAACTGGATTTAGGGCTGGGATCATGGCACTCTGGACCCTGATTCTAGACTTCAAGGAGGCTTACTTTTCTCAATTTTATAAACCGTGGACAGGCTTCTCCATCTCTGTAGGCCCTACTCTGATCAGATTCTGGAAAAGGATCTATCTCTATGTGCAGAATTGATTTTAAAGTTTACTAATAATAGCTACCAACATGTTAAGCACAGTGCTAACTGCTTCAACTGCATTTAAACCTTCTCCCAACAACTCTAACTGCAGATGCTGCCACCCTGACTTAGAGACAAGGACACTGAAGCTTAGAGCGATCAGGCAGCTTGCTGGCAAGCCCCGGGCTCATTCAGGGTATGACTCTATGACTCCAACCCAGGGCTGTCTAATGGCAAAGCCCATGCTCCCAGCCTCGATGTTTTAGGACCCAAATTACGGCAAGCCCCAGTGTAAACCTTCTGGGCCTACGACTGTGCAAAGACCAATATGACTGTGTATTCCAAATCCCTGCCAGTCCGCCGCCCCCAGCAATAAAAATGCTATGATCTAAAATGGATGAACCTGGAGTAAACTCTATGCCATTTTTAAAGAGATATCTTCCATTTCTCTTAAGAAGTTTTAAATCTGAATCTCTCAAGCCATTTTGTCAACTGAGGAACTAGCAGGTTCTAGAAACAGTAATCCTATAACTGACTTTTATTCAGCCTCCCCAGAGAGCTATCAAAAATCGTCTTAAGGCAGTTTGCAACTTTCATTACTGATTTTCCCTTGGCCTCCACCTCTGTGCACCAAGCTCCAGTATGAACTATGTTATTAGTTCAGGAGACCCCCAGCAACTGATTATTTTAGAAAACCTGCCCTTTATCTTTATGGAGTGAGGATCAACAGAACTTGATTTTGTGAAATCAGATAGAAGTTCTGAGAAATGATCATCACCATAATAATAGCTAAGATATACTGAATGTTTATTATGTGCCAGACCTTGTTCTGACTGCTTTTACACATTTAATCATCATCCTAACTCTGCAAGGTAGATACTATTAACATCCCCATTACACGGATGAGAAAAAGGAGGGATATATCTTGGCTCTCTTTTTCAACCTCCCCATTAATAAGCTGAAATCACTTTTAGATCATCTAGACGCTAGCTTTCTGCTAAAGAGACAAGAAAAACAAGTATGTTCCTCCACATCGTCAAGGGTCCAGACACAATAATAAAAGGTCTCACCATCTTTCATCAGGAAAAATGGCCCAAGATCAACTATCGTGAAGCCCAAATAATCATTTTTGACACAAAATGTAATTGACCATAGTCAACTACACTGCCGTCCAAGTCATTCAGTCATTTAGGGGCACAATCTGCAACTAATTTATTCTTAAGAGTCCATTCACTTAAAATTCAACATTTCATCCATGAACCATTGAAAATTCTTCTCTGGTTGTTGAGAGAAATTGGTAATTATTACTCAAGATTCTTCATTATTCCCATGCTTCCCAGAGTGAAATTTTCAAGCCTTGATTGTTATTTGTTCAGGTGTTGGAACTGACTTAAAACGGCTCTCCATGGAAAATCCTGGCCCTGCCCACATGCACAGCCTGGGGTCACTCTGCAGGCGTGTGGATGACTCCCTTAGTCAAGTCCTGGGTCAGCTTCTTAATTTTTGTAGAAGAAGGTCAACCCTACCGTTAATTTGGGTGATTTTTAAATATGTGGATGTGACCTTCATCTACAACATGGAATCATTGCTTGCCAGGCCCTGGCCAAAGAATGTACCTTTGAACTGTTGGCTGCCTACTTTTTATCAAAATCATGCATGCCAGAAATAAATGTTCCGAGTGGAAGGGAGCCACGTAACCTGGGGGCAGTGGTTTTAGCCCCGGAGCAATCTGCTAAATCCAGTGCCATGAACTTTCTGCCTCAGAGCCCAGTTTTAATAAGTCATTTTATAAGGGTTACGGAAAACATCTTCAGACGGAGCAAGAAGATAAGAGGAGGGGCTTATTATTTTGCCTCTGAGCCCACACCTTAAGTAATCCTTGCAATTGGACTCTGATCACCTCTGATAAGAAAACAACATGAAAGAAGAGAGCTGTCTCTAATCAGCAGTAACAGGGAGCGTCAGAGAAGGGTCTCCATTCAACATGAACACTTACGTTCTTCTCCCTGAGCCTCCAAGACCCCTTATATGACATTGGAGCCAAACAAAGGAGGAGCGACCCACGGGCTCCAGTTTGCTTGAGTAATTTTCCTCCACACAAGTCTAATCATCCGTGTGTTTCTTCACCAACACTCCCATCCAATCTCTCCTCCAATGCGCTGAGTGAATGCTGTGCTCGTGAAGACACAAACCCTGACAAGCAGTTAGAGAAGGATTAAGACCAAAGTGCTGGGTCAGAAACCAAGTCCAGGCCTGTCAAGACGCCTCCCTTTAGATTTGCAGAGACTTCCGACTGCTGACCCTAAGCAAGAAGACAGCAGATTTTGGTTTGAGCAGCCAAATCACCAACCCTGGGATGGCCTCTCCCCAGCCAGCTCCCTAATGTGTGAATTTGCACGTCTGTTCTAAACACTCACCCACACAGGCTTTGAGGCAATCCTGTCCAGCTGAGAAGGCTTCTGGCAGGGAAATTATAATAAGAGTACTAATGACTGGTTGAAGTTGTACTGTCCCTCCAAAGACTGATACTCATGCCATCGGCCATCATCACTGTGACCTTATTCAGGGTGGGACAAGCTGGAGAAGCAGATCCGAATTAGCCCGAGTAGAAGGGAGGACACGCAGCTTCTCTCCCTTCCTCTTCGCTCAGTTTTGATGGGCTGACCTCCTTTGGTTGCTGTGACTGAGGAAGGAAGGAGGGGAAGCGCTGGGGGTGAACCATGATGGCTGGACAGGCTAGAGCTGGCATCTCTGCTTTAACATTTACTGCTTGGCGACTGGCCAAATAATTTGCATCTCGGTTTCTCCATCTATAAACGGGAGGAGTTAACCCCGACTGGGTACGTCATGAGGGTCAGCACTAGGAAGTGCCTGGCACATAAATGACACTGAATATTCACGGTGGCGGTTCCCATGGTGAGCTATGTGTCTCTCATGGATTCCCCTTGAAGTTCTTCAAGGTCAAGAAGCAGGTCTTATTCATCTTAAAACCTCCAGTATTAGAGCCTCAATAAATATTTGCTGAATGGACAACCACAAGAATAATCTCCTTCCCTTAACTCTATCATTCAGTTGTGAGTTTGAGGTGGAAAAATCAATAAAGAGCTGTCCCCACCCTGCCTTTGCAGAGTTAAACCAGCTTCCGCTCAGGAGTCACATCAGAAGAACAGAGCTTCAAAGTCTTGTCAGATAAAGGAGGTCTTTATGGAGCGGAGCAACTTCGGGTTTTGCATAACAATACACCCACAGATTTTAACTGATCACTTTTCCCCTAGTTCCTTGTGGATTCATGAAACTGACAGCTTGGCACCAGCATATTGACGCCTGTTTTCTATCTAACACCAGCTGTATGAGTGCCTCATGTTTAATCCACTCTGTAAATTTTTAAGCAACTATGTAAAAACAAAAACCTCAGAAACCCAAGAAAAGATGCTGGGTTGAGTTATTTCATTAAAAAAAACAAACTCTAATAAGTGTCTCCTTTCCGTCTGCCTCCCACTGCAATCAGGTGTACTCAGTTTCCCTTTCCTCAGAGTGTGAATTGCAGCAGCTTCTTTCTGCCTATGAAAGAAGTCTGTGCTCTAGGCCAGGGCCACTCAAGTGTGGTATCCCCAGAAGACCAGGAGCTTATTTCAGAATGTAAATCAGTGCATTGCTTCCTTCTTCAAAAGGTCTTGCTGTGGAAAAAAAAAGTTAGCTGAGGTGGAGGGAGGAGGGTACAGCTCAGTGGTAGAGCACGTGCTTAGCACGCATGAGGTCCTAGGTTCAATCCCCAGTACTTCCATTAAAAAACAACAACAACAACTAAAATAAATAAATAGACCTAATGACCTTTCCCCCCAAAATAAAATAAATAAATATTTTAAAAAGTGTCAGCTCAACTAAATAGTCTCTTTAGTGCCAGGCTTGATGTGCGTTCTGGCACAATCTCCTTACAGACAAGCAACAGGGAGCTCACAGACCATCACCACCTGTGGACCACACTTTGCGAAGCACTGTTCCAGGTCATAGACCTCTCCATCTGCCGGAGACTGCCAGACTGACATTTACAATGGACTTCTGAGTGGTTTTTGGCCGCCTAGTCTCCCTATCCCTTCCTTTGGTAAAGCCCCAATACCGAGACTCTGACTCACCCTTTCTCAGTCATGGGTCCAGGTGGGGATCCTGTATGACTGGGGCTGGCCAAACAGTGCTCTGAGTCTCTCTGGTCACAGTGAATGGTCATGATTCAGGGCCAGCCAATCAGCATAATTCCATCTTCCTGGTCAGCTTTTAGATCTGGGATGGGCAGTGGCCTTGACTGATGAAATCAGAGTTAAGCCTGGGACTCATGTAGAAGCTACAAGGGAGACAGTCTTGTTCCATTAAAGTTGTGAGGAAGTAAGCCTGGAGTCAACAACACCCATGAGGGGAGAGTCTGGCTGTGAAATGAAGCAAAGACAGAGAGCAGAACTGAAAGGATTCTAAGTAGGTCACTGGAACCTCTGGATCAAGCCATGCCTGAAGCAGTTTCTACCCTATGACTTTTCGTTAATGTGAACCAGGAAATTTCCCTTTTGCTTAGCGCATTTGGTGAGCTTTCTAACACTTGCAAACAGAAGTATCAAGTTAGGTATGACTACTATACCCTAGGCTCGTTCTAAAATTCATAAACATTAATCCTAAAGAGACAAATCTGAAAAAGCAAAAGGTGGGGAGTCAGAAGAGCTGCCATTTTCTGGGACTAGAGGCAGGTTACCAAGACTTCCCACACCTGAGTTCCTTCCTCTGTCAGGTGATTAACATCTGCTTCACTTGTTAGGTGACTGTGAGAATCACACAGAAAGGAAATCATTCTGGAAACATATGGAAAAGCACTGTACAAACAAAAAAACAGTATCATTACTAGCACAACACCTTACTTGTTCAAACTTCAAAATCCTAGCATCCATAACTATCCAGATCCTATAAAAAATTTTTTTTGAAGTCTTTCAATAACAACAGATGGTTGTTGCTGTTGTTTTGTTTTTCACATCACATACTATACTCTGCTCTAGGAGAGGAAGCTCCCCCTGCCGGCCAGAGGGCAGACAGAGAGCCAGCCCCGCCTTTTGTTCTGGGCTCAGCATCAACACGCACTGTGGTTCATTTCTTAGGTCCACCCAGGCCATTTTCTCCCTCATCGCACACATCATCCCATCTACTCAGGCTTATGAATCATGAAAGAAAAATGATGATTTAATTTCGAAATTACCACTATTAATTCTCAACTGCTATCTGGCAACTTTGGAGTTGTCCCAATAACACTATTCTTATCTAGCGAGGCAGATTTTGTTTGTTTTTGCTGTTTTCATAGCCGAGATCTAAGGGCCAACATAACAACAATCTTTACAGTAAAAGACTAAACTGTTTGAAATTTTCACGTTTTCTTCAAACGTCAGAACACAATCATTTTCTGATAGATAAAAACAGTTAGCAATTCGGGTGTAAATTGGAAGAGGCATTACTACCATTACTGATTTTTAAGTTATGTGCTGAGTTTCTGGTCAATGGTGATATTTATGGATTCTCTTCTGATGGAAAAATAACTAAATTTTTGGAGTTCCATATAATATATAATGCAACTGGAAAAAAATTCACTCTTCACAGTCCCCTCCTTTGAGGAGCTCAATCCCAGAGGCTGGGGTGGGAGGACAGAATGGACGCTTGTTTCACGAGCGTTCTCGTGTCCTGGGCATCAGTGCTGCACCAAGCATGTGCACCCACGACTGAGCCCAGCATGCCCCAGGCTGCGTGACTGGTACCCATGGGCAGAGTCATAGTTCCCTGGAAGCAAAGAGCAGACAGAGCGTCCCGTCCCTGCTCTCAAGGACTGGCTGCATTTAGGCAGAGCAGGCTGGCCCCGGATACAGCAGGCTCTACAAATATCACTACCCTGTCTTCCTGCGTCTCCATCTGTGCCGCTTCACTGTAAAACGAGTTGAGCCTTCCCTGTTATCTGATTATCTACAATTCAAGGAGAGGAGGCTCCACATCTAGCTGTACCACCGCTAAAGCTGGTGCTTCGTCTTCTGCTGATCTGAGACACAACAAGTGACAAGGCGAAGGGGAAGAGAAGAGAGGGACCATCCCTCCAAAACCTCTAACCACTTACCAGTCGAGACAATGCTCTGGAACCAGCATAGATCACACCCACAAAGAGCACTGAAGCAGGAAGCCACGTCGAAACAGCAGATCTGGAAACAGGGAAAGAGACCATAATACTTTCGTTACTTATGTCCAAAAGACCCCGCTGGAAAGTATGACCCTTCCCATTCACCAAATATAGCCCCCGGGGTTGTCGAAACATCCCTAGGTGACTTGCGAAGCGTGACTCGGTCTGTATCACTGAGAGGGATGGAGGCTTACTAAGCCATCTTGCCCACAGCTCATCACTTGGCCAACCATATGGTATTACTGATCCCACCATCGGGCACAGGTAAGCTAGAGAAGGAAAGGGCTTCCTGCAGGTTGGAAGAGAGGAGAGTTCTGATTTTTTTTTTAAGGGGGAAGTGAACAGCATTCTTCAGAATGTAAGTAGCTGAAGGCTTTGAATCCATGCCAAATTATTTTAAAATTTTTTTAAAGGCTGGTTACCTAGGCAATGTATCAAACAGCTTTATGGAACCACGAACAGAACCACAGTGTCAAAGGACAGAATTGAAGAGAGTCTTTGAGCCAGGTGGCCACGTGCTGAGCCTCAACCATTAACCTCAACCATTAACCTGAGATGCCAGTTCAGGGACTCTCTAAGGACTTCTGGAGGGCACGTTTCTTTGATTCAATTGTGGCCACACCAAGAACTGGTTTCAACACAGTTAAGAATCTTGATCTCCTTAAGAAAGGCAAAATCCCAGTTTCTGTACACAGAGTACATATCACCGAAGGTGCAACTTGCTTCCTTCATCAGTTACAAATGCGTTTGGTTCTCTAATTCAAGTTCCCGGAGTCATTCTAATAATAGATATAAACTAATGAAACCATTCCAGCAGGATATAAAATAATAATCCCAACTAACTCAGTGAACTGCTCTCCTGGGATGAAGCCTGTTCCAGAAATGTTGTTTGTCAATTTTATTAGCATGGCAGATGCTCCATCCCTCATCAGACCTGCTTTTGTACAACTTCCCAGGGAACCCGGCATGAAAACACTTCTAGTCTCTAGTAAGGCCTCCGAACCCTACTTCCAGTATACATTCATTCAGCCCAAACTCATAGCAACATGCAAGGTGCTCCCAGCACCAGAGTTAATATTAAAAGCAGCATCATTGTGGACATTTTCTGAGTCCTCGCTACAGACCAGCTAAATGTTTCCTACGCTGGGATCTTTTTAAAACCTGCACAACAATCTCACGAGGAAAGTATTATTTATTATTATCCCCGTCGTATGAGATGAGGAAAGGGAGGCACAAACAGTTGAAGTAATCTGTCTCTGGTCAGAAGAGTTGGTAATGGCAAAGCCACAATCTGAATTCAGGTCTGACTCAAAACCATGCTTTTAACCCCCTCTCACCCTTTACCCTCAAGGACCTTGTGAATGAAAAATACTGCCAGCCGTATCAGTAAACAAAGAATGCTGTGGCCATCATGTCATCTGTTGCTACCGCCACCCCCTCAACCTTTCACCCATTCCCCCTGCCCCTGCAGCGAGTGGAGGGAACTCAGGATATGGAGAAGAGGGCAGCCCGTTTCTGCAGCCACCCCCAACTGTGCACCCTAAGGGCACTCAGGATGTGGAAGAACAGGATACTGGCCCTAAATAGCTAGGTGTATATCAAAGGAATGATTTCAATGAGCCCAGACCTTCATACCTTCCCAAACATAGAAAAGTGCTAAATTCCTTAACTTGAGATATCTGGTTTTCTCTAATTAATAGTAATCTTTTGATGATCCGACTACCTGGTCTTTGTTGCAAAAACTCATGTATCCTGGCTTCGACCTAGCCACTCTGGAACAGTCTCTTAGAGCGATCTGAGAGGCTGCCTCCCAGGCTCGAGTCCTCAGAAGTCCGCTGAATTAAACAACTCTCAGCTCTTAGGTTGTGCACTTTATTTCAGTTGACAACCTCATCATCTAATGGGAGACACTGACATATAAATAAATAAGCTGCAAACACAATGTGATTTTGCTCTGGGAGCAGACCACGTAGCTAATTATCTGAGAACATTCTGTTATGACTACTCCTGCTGCAATCGGACGTCTGCACTTCCAACAAAAGTGCCAACAGAGGATGGAAGATGCCAGTCTCTATCCTAACGGGTCAAGCTAACATCAGCCAGTTGCCACTCTTCTAGGAAAAGGCTTTCCCACTAGACATCCAGGGTCAAGGGAGACAGGATCCAGGCCTGTGGCCCGCAGGGCACTAGAAGGAAGCCCAGAGCCCACGCTGCAGAGAGGCAGGCGGGTGGGCACCGAGTGGAACAGCAGCCGGCCCAGCTGCGGCAGGCCCGGGACTTTGGAATTAAGGTCAGTGAGGCCCCAGACACGTGTGCTCCTCTCCCTCTTAAACAAGGAAAACTCCTGCCACGCATCTACTCCAAGAGACATCCGGGTATCCGAGTGGCCGTGGCCATGACAGAAAGGAAACAGGGAACATCTTGCTTTTAACCCCTCTGCCTTAAAATACAAAGGAATAACTTTAACCAGAAAAAATACACGTGGGTCTAGTTGGACTAAAGGTATTTTGTGACAGCAGCCTGAGCTGACTGAGATGCCCTCCACTGCAGCTCTAACTCTGCAGGATTCCGGGACAGCCAGCAGCCTGGGCCTGCAGGTAAGGAACAAATGAGGCACGTGCCACCAGGGCACCTCCTCTCCACCTTTAATTCATAAGGTGGCACCACCTGCGTCTCCTGTACTGGTTTAATCTTTCATTGTCCTATGTGCCATCAAAGGAAGCAAGACAGGGTTAAATCCCGAGAAGGTCCTGGCAGAATCTCGAGTCTCTGTGGTGCAGGAGCCTCTGGGGAACTGCTGAGCCATTGGGCTGTGTGTGTGTGTGTGTGTGTGTGTGTGTGTAGATGAGATCTATGGAAGAACTACTTGCTACAGTGTCTGCTTTGAACACACTGGTGATACGGAATTTGTCTTATATGATCCATAAGCACAAACATTGCATCTTCTCTGCATCGTGTGTACTTTCTGTCTTTTTGCTTGTGCACACGCCACCATCCCTAAGAACCCTGATGAATGAAGCATTTTACAAGAAGCTAACAATAGTCTCTTGGCATGAAATCTTAAAACTCTTGTTATTGAGATGAAGGCTAATTAAATTAAGTCACTTGTTTTTCAAATAGAGCATGCATTATTGAGGGAACATCTGCTCCCTGAAAACACTCAGTTAATCTATTCCTGGGAGCCTGGCAGGATCCTTGAGCTGAATTCTTGAAAATTCTCAGAGTGATGCTGACACCTAGTGACCCAGAAGCAGTTTCCAAACATGAAAAGAACACATGACCAAGATACCAGGGCTCACAGGTTGACTACTGACTGGCACTGCCTAAAACAGTAACACACCTTACAACTGTAAAGTCAGTATTCACTTTACAGTTTATAAGGACTTCTGCATATATTAACTCCCTGCTTATAGAAGATGCCTGATTTCACCTTTTTGGTCCATTACTGGTGGATATGGTCCTCAAGGAGTCTTACGCCCTCTCAGACCTTTCTCCTTCAATCTTTACTCTCTCCCTGACTCAGAGAGGGCCATCCTCCCATGACAAAGTCCAGCCCTAATATTACTTGAACCCAAGAACCCTTGTTGACACTGTGTCTCACCGAGGATCACTCAGAGCAGGAGTTAGCAGACAGCAGCCTATAGGCCAAGTCCCACCTGCTGCCTGTTGCTGAAATAGCATTTTATTGTCACACAGCCACACCTGTCTGTTTACCTTGTCTATGGCTGTTTTTCCACTACAACAGCAGAGTTGAGTAGTTGTGACAGAGAGCGTATGGCCCACAAAGCCTATAATGTTTCCTCTCCGGTTCTTGTTTGCAAACCCTGATTCAGAGTAAGGCAGCCTGGGTCCCAACGTCTGGAACTTACGAGCTGCGGCACCCTCGGGCGCCTCACCCCAATCCGGGGGAGGAGCGGGGCTGGATGTGCGGCTAAGTGAGTTTAGGAGACAGGCAGCCAGGATGGCACAGAACAGAGATGTTAGTACTAAGAAACATAGTCCAAAAATGAAAAAAGAAAAAGAAATAGAGGTCACCCAGTTCCCCGAATAACAACTGAGGTAGGATAGAAGAGGTCCACATCTCATTTCTAATAGATATGAGAAAGAAAACCCAGTTCAAGCATCTTGCCCGTGCATAGTCCATGAGGGACTGCCAATTCAAGCTAATGTGCAAGACATAACACCTTTGATCTCCGGTCCGGGAGGTTAACACTTCATACCATTGACTTAAGAGGTCAGAAAGGGCTGTATGGACACAGAGGGACAGCTATACACAATGCGGTCTATGACAAACCGTGAGTTCAGCAGATTCCTATGCACTGAGTGGTGTGGGCATGCCCTGCAGGCATCAAAGGTCAAAAAAATCCCCGTCCTGAGAAAGGCAAATACTGCATGGTATCACTTATATGTGGAATCTTTTTTAATACAGTCAAACTCATAGAAACAGAGAGAGTCTGGTGAAAGGGCACAAAGTTTCAGCTACAAGATGAATAATGTACATTGATTATTCATGAATGATGAATAATGTATCCTATGAGGATCTAATGTGTAATATGGTGACTACAGTTGATAACATTGTATTTATAATTGAGATTTGCTAAGAGAGTGGAACTTAAACGTTCGTACAAAAAAAAGATAACTATGTGAGTTGATGGATATGTTAATTAACTAGATGGTGTGAATGTTTCACAATGTATACGTATATCAAATCACCACAATGTACACTGTAAATAACTTAAAATTTTATTTGCCAATGATACTTCAATAAAGCTGGAAAAAAAAACCAAAAACCCTGTCCCTTTACCAATCCTGGCTTCTGGGATGCCTCCCAGGTACAACCCAAGCGCCATGTCAACACCAACCAGATTCTATTCACTATTATATCCCCTCAGTGGCTCTCAGCATGTTTCCTAAGGAATTTTTGAAAGTTGGTTTTATTATTCACAAAAAGTAATTTCTAACACATACGTATATATGTAAGGCATTCTTCTGGAGAGAAAACAATGGGAAAGAAAAACAAAAACACAAGAATCTGAGTGCTAACTTTCCTCTGTGAGCAAAGATGACTTTTTATAAAACTACAAGAGTCACTCAAAAGGAAATATCAATACATTACAACACTATTTGGGAAATTCTAACCACCAGTAGCTTTGATGAAGGTGGGCTAGCTCACTTAAAAACCAATAAATAACCAATCATTAAAAAGAAGTACAATTGTGTCCCGAATTGACTGGCTCATTTATTTAGGGACTGGGCTGAGTTAATTTGGAGGTTTTATCAAAAGTAGTAGTTATGGTTCTCCAGCAAAGACTCTCAATGGAAAATTTAGGGGTGAGGGGTTCTTTATCTGTCAGAAATCTCTGCACAAAGGTATTATGGCACAGGTTTTTTTAACTTAGAATTTTTCATATTTGAAAACGTTGAGAGTCAATTTTTCTCTCTTATATATAGTGGATAAAAAGTAGTAAGTAGGTTAAAGATCACTTTCAAAATGTATTTATGTATGTATTTATTTATTTAATTTATTTTCATTTTCACAATCTGACAAACCCTTTCCATTTTTTTTATTACAAACCCTTTCCATTTTTTATTACCAAAATGCTGTAAAGTATACAAAATGCACATGATATAGTGAAGGTTTTATGTTGCTTTTCAAACCAACTCTGCTGCAAAAGAACCAAGTAAGCTGTCTCCCACAATATATCAAAATGTTTTTATTTAAACATGGAGCCTAGTCGTACAGGAGCCAGCAGATGGCATCTAAAGTCTCCAGTGAAATCACACCTGAGTGTCCTCAGCCGTGGTTCTGGAATCTAATACAGTGCCATGGTCTCGCTGTGCTGTGCTACCAGACGTCCAGTCAGCTGAAACAGGTCACAATGTGCTTTAAGGCTCACGTTTTGGAACTACAGAAAGCCTTCGGCACAGGACTTCCAATGCTGCTAGAAAAATCACTTCAATGTTCTGCAATGACTTGGCAACAGCAGTAGCCACCATATAATGACAAGCTTGTGGCTGAAAACCAGGGCTGTCTTTCTCAAGACAGAGGCTTCCAGGGCAGCACCCAATACCCAGTGATAACAACCAGTTGCTGGGCAAACATCCTGGGAGGAGAATGGTTCCATCGGGCCACTTGGTGGTGTCAATACATGACGTGGCCAGGGGGAACCAGGGATTCTGCTGTGCTGCAGCCCACAAGGACAGTCTAAATGAGCTCTCTATGGTGAATGCTATTAAGGAGCAATTTGGGGCTTGCCCTCCAGCCCCATCATTATAATCCCCAACCATGATGATGTCGGGGATGCAAAACCGTCTTCCTGCTGTTGCTTCCTTTTTCAGTAAAGCCTGACCTCTGCTCTCTCTCTGCTCGGTGACACAGCAAAGCTGGGCTGTGGTTCTCTAGTGACATAATCAAAAAGCAAAGCCAAGCAGGAAACATGGCCACAGCAAACACAGACCCAGCCCAAGCACACACAAAGGAACACTGGTGCTGGCTCCTTGCTGCCAGCTGTCTGGTAACACCCCTTTGCCGAGGGCACATGGTAACTGGAAATCCTGAGCTGGGACAGCAGTTATGAACCACAAGACCCACTGCAAACTAGGACATGGGGATCTGAAGCTTAACTGAGCTGACACCATGTGTGTGGCTGTGAGACCACCAAAGGAAGTCCAGGGGACGGAGGTGAAAAAGTCTCTAGAAAATTGAGCAAGGGGACAAAAAAGGGATACTATCATGGATCTTCTGAGATGGGTGGCACCTAGCATCATGCGAATTCAAGGGCCAACTCTGTCTAGTGGGTCTCAAACTTCTGTCGAGGACCACTTCTTCCAGGAAAAGAATCTTGAGAATTTTTTACTTTTCCTGGTTTGACTAGTCATTCCCCCTCCTCCACCCACAAAAAAAAGCAATAAAGTATGAAGAATGCCATCAATGTATGAATGAATAAACCAAATGTGTTACATACACAATGGAATATTATTCAGCCTTAAAAAGGGAAATGTTGACACATGCTACTTCATGGATGAAGCTTGCAGACATTATGCCAAGTGAAATAAACCAGTCACAAAAAAAACCAAATACTGTATGATCCCATTTAAACGAGGTGCCTAGAATAGGTAAATTCATAGAGCCAGAAGCTAGAAAAGAGGTTGACCAGGGGCTGGGGGATGGAAGAAAGGGGAGCTCTTATGGTTTCTGTTTTGGATGATGAAAATTTCTAGAAATGGATGATGGTCATGGTTGCACAATATTGTGAATGTACTTAACACCACTGAACTATATGCTTAAAAATTGTTTTAAAATGGTAAATTTATGTTACATATATTCTACTTACAAAAAAAGTTTCCATATGAACAATGGCATTGCTTTTAAGGAAACATAACTAAGGTAATGTTTAAAAGACCATTACTAATAAGTAAATACTTCACATCAGAAATCATAAGATAAAGTCAGGGTCACTGTGAGAGCAGAAGACCCAAGCTGATTAGCACCGATGGACCCCAGTCCAAAATCTGACAGCCAGTTCTCTTGCTTCTGCAGAGAAATACATTCAACTACTTGGGGTCAAAATGCTTCATTATTTAACTGAATATTAGAACTATCAAAGGCCTTGTGAATTCAGGGCTCATGTTCTTTTGAATGAAGACCCAATTCTCAGGGAACTATCCACCATAACAACAAACTATAAAGTAAGACTTGCACTTGGTATCACATGTAAAATACCAAAAGTATATTTTATTAAGTAGAGGATTCCATACCATGGAAATGCAAATTTTTGACTTAATGAACTGCTCCTTTGGATTAGTAAGCGTCCTTCGTGTGATATTCTTTTAGAATATGGACCATGATGTTAATTGTGTCAAGAAAGTGAATCCAAACCCAAGTTCCCAGGGCCTCTCCTTTGTAAAGCCTCTTAAACCAGTGTTTTGCTCTCTACTTATATATTTGCAGGAGAAGCCAAAATTATCAGTATTTATACTGGACTCATTCTCAAAGCTTCTCCAGAGTGCCAGGCCAAGGAGTAACTTAGCAATGAAGTAGTTAATCTGACTCATGGAGAAGTTGGGCAGATAATTCGGATCACAAGGCAAATGGCTTGGCCTGATCATTTAGTCGGGATGTTTACCTTATTCATGTAAACCTTGACTTCATTTTCTCTTCGTTTTACGCATAATTTCAGGCGAGGCACGATGTTCTCAAAGAATCAACAGAATTTATTCAGGTGAGGCAGGAGTGGATAGCCGATTCGGATTAAAACTTTGGCTGAAAAATGTCATGCTCTTTGACTTTTTTTTAATATATGTATATTTTTATTGAAGTATAGTCAGTTTGCCGCGTTGTGTCAATTTCTGGTGTACAGCACAGTGCTTCAGTCATGTAGGAACATACATATACTTGTTTTCATATTCTTTTCCACCATAAGTTACTATAAGATGTTGAATATGGTTCCCTGTGCTATACAGTATAAACTTGTTGTGACATTTCTTTTAAATCTATTTGAAAAGCTGTCTTAATAGAATCGTAGCAACTCATGCTAATTGTGATCTGAGTTGGCCTCTGGATCAGAATTTTTGTGCGAAGGGTTATAAAGACTATTCTTGAGAAAAGCGACAAAATATGAGTATGGTTTACAGATAATAGTATTGTATTGATGTTAATTTCCTCATTTTGATAACGATGTAGTCATGTGAGAGAATGTCCTAGCTCTTAGGAAATACAATTTATAAGTAAAGAAAAGAGGTATCTTACTCTCAAACCGGCAACTTTCAAATAATTCAGAAAAAAAAAAGTGTGTGTGTGAAGAGACAGTGATAAGAGAAGCAGGGTAAAATAATTATTGGGGAAATCTGAGTAAAGGGTATGAGAATTCTCTGTGCTATTTCTAACTTTTCCAGGAGCAGGAAATAACTGCAAATTCAAAATTTTACCCCCCCAAAATTAAAGCTGATTTAATAACTTATTTATAGGGGCCCTATGATCTAAAACAAAACCAGATTAATACAGTATTGTAAATTATATATTGCAATTAATTTTAATATACATGAGTGGCATCATTAACCAGGAAAACATTACTGAGTTCTATAGGATTATAAAATCATTGAATCTCAAGGTTAGAAGGGAATTAAGAGATCAAACAACTCAAACAAACATCCGTGTTTCCCAATGTAACACCATCAGTTAAACAATATAAGAGGAAGCAGGCTGTGAATCATGAATCAAGCACAGAAGGGGTGGTCCTACCTTGAACTGCAGTTGATCTCCGCCCAACCCAGCTTCCATGACACATGAAGCAAAAGTCCACCAATCAGCGTCTGCCACCTGAGAAGAATCCGGGCCAATGTGAATTTAAGAGCTCCGTGGTCTCAAACGCCATCCAGCCCCGTTAGATCTGTCTGCCTGACACAAATACACGCATCCGATCCTTCTTACAACTCCTGTCTCCTACTTTCTCATCATTATCATCCCAGTTCTCAGATCCCTCTTTCTCAACCTCTCCTGCTCCCTCGAGCCCAGCCGTATCACTGAGAGCTAATACTGATGGTCTTCTCTTCTTATCCTAGACTTTTCCTGAACGAACTCTCCCACAGTCACTACTTACTTCTCCATTATCTCTACACTGATGATTCCCAAATCCTCCTTCTCACCAGGATGTGGCCACCCTGAGACCCCACAAGCTCCCAATGATAACACGCCTATAGCATGACCTTAAACCTCCCCCTCCCCATCCTGAGCATCCTCCTACCATCCCTAATCAGCCAAACAAGAAACCCGGATGTCATCCTGGCCCTCCTCTGCCGTCACTTCCCTTATCTACTTACAAAATCCTATTGACTTTATCCCCATAACAGTTCTGAAACCCAAAGCCGCCGTCTCCTTCCCTCTTCCCAATTCAGACTCATCACCTCACACCTGGAACACAGCATCAGTCCCCTCACTGGCCTCCCTCTCTCCAGGGTTGCCCTGTACCCTCCATTCTCCATCTCACAGCCAAAGGTTTTGTTCTAAAATGCAAACTGAATCATGCTCCTTATTTTTAAAAGGGCTTATCCTCCCACAGCAGCCCTCAGCCTCTTTTCTGCCCCTACACACTTGGGGTCATGGAGCTCATGTGAGACACACGTCCTCCCGTGCAGAGTGTAGGGGGAGCACACGTTAAAAGATAAACATCCCTCCCCTGCCCACTACAAAAAGCACAGCAAAACGCCACATGAGTGACGGGTAAGGCAGGCATAACTTTATCCTGTTTCACACAAATTGCTTTTTTACTTTCAGTGAGTCATTCATAAATGTCAACACCTTATTTCTGCTTATGACTTGAGATACCTCACCTCGGAGGTGATTACAACACACCATGTGTTGTGACATGACAGCTGAGAACCCCTGGCCTACAGGATAAAGTCACTTGCGTGTGACATGCAAGCCTTCCGGGACTCGCACCCGCCCCCCTCCAGGGTCAGCTCCTGTCCATCTGCTGGTGGCAGCTACATTCCAGCCACAAAGAACAGCCCACAGCCTCGGCACTGTGCCAGGCCACTTGATATTTCTTAGAGTTTGCACATGCAGCCCTCTTGGCTCATAATGTTCTTCCCATCTCTCTGGGTGAATGGACACTCATTCATCCTGTAAGATCCAGGTTTTATGTCCCACTGACTCAGCCAGGCAGAGCAAACAGATATGAGTCAGGCCCTCCATCGGGACCTCAATTATGTAGTTTTTCCCCCAGGGGACAACGGGCAGCACCTGGAGACATTTTTGGTTGTCACAAAAGGAGGCGGGGGAAAGGAGGGCTGCTACTGGCATCTGATGAGCACGAGCCAGGATGCTGCGGGGTAAACATTCCCTCAACATGCAGGACAGGCCCCCACGACAAAGAAGGATCCAGCTCAAAATGTCACTAGTGCCGAGGCTGAGAAACCCTGGTCTGGTGGGAAGTAAGCTAACTAACAGTCACAATCGGTGTGAGAAAGCCCTAGCAGGAAGAGTACCAGGAGCACAAGCCGCCCTACGGGGCAGTGAACCCAGCCTAGCGAGCTGGTAAGTCTTCCCAGGTGAAGGAAATCTGAATCGTGTTCCAAGTGGGAGCCCAGGATGGACAAAGGCCCACAGGTGAGAGAGACAACGGCTCGTTCAAAGCCTCTCAGGTAAGTTCAACCAGCCTGACCTCAGCCTGTGAGCGCTCAAGGCGGGCGCGGCAGGAGCTGACACTGGAGAAGAAGGGCTGGTCATGAAAGGCCATGTCAACTGTGCAGGAGCTGGGGCTTCAAACTGGGGACCCACTGAAGGGTCTGCAGCATGGGAGCCCACTGTCACATTTGCCTTTGGGAAAGCTCCCTCTTTTTTACAAGGGAGAGAATGTTTGTTAAGAGAAGCAAGACTAGGGGGCAGGAAGCAAGGCAGGAGTTGTGAGAGGAATCTGAGAGATCACAGTGGCCCAGGAGGAGGCCATTCAGAAGATGGACAGGTTCTAAAGCCTTTTACAGGTCCTGGTGGTTAATTAGATGTCGAGAAATCAAGAATAGCCCAGGTTTCTGAATCAGGCAACGGGATAGAGGACACCATTCACTGCAGGTGAAGTGAAGGGACACACAGAGGCAAGCAGGCTCCGGAGGGCAGGCGTCTTTCTTTTCTTCACTGAAGTAGCCCAAGTGTCTAGAAAAGTGACTGGTGCATAGTGTGCCTGTAATACATTTTTGTTGAATGAGTTATTCTGCCTGACTATGCACCTCCTATGTGCCAGGCATGGCTCTTGGCATTGGGGATACTCCAGTGACAAAACAGATTTTTTTTTTTTAAATTCTTGACCTTTGTAGACCTTACATTCTATTGAGGGAGGTGCATTCAGTCTGACTCCTCTACAAGGAGGGGAAAAGGCAATTCAGGTGAAAACACCATCCTTCCATATATAAGTTCCCTAAGCCTCTCTTCCCGGAGAAAAGTAAAGGACAGCCAGGATCAGAAAACGAGAAAGCAATATTCCAGCCTTGTTGGCTGAAATACACACAACCATAGGCGACACTTTTTAAAGTTTTACTATGAAATATGAGGTGTGATATACTTGCTATGAAAAATGAACTATTATCTGGCAAAGTAATTCTAAAGTTCACCTGAAATTACATATTAGTGACAATACAAAGAACAAAAATTCATAAAAAAGTAAGTGGTGAAAAGTCTTCTTCCTTCCCCTTGTTCACTATCTGCATTGTGTCCCTCTTTTCCTATAATAACCACTTTCACTAGTTTCTTCTTTTTTTTTTTTAAATAAAAAAACCATACATACACTTTGACATGATGGAAGTATACTAGATTCTTATGGACTTGCTTTTGTTCCCCATCAAGTGCATCATGAAGACCTTTCCACGTTAATATACGAGAGTTTCCTTTTTTTAAATGTTTGAATAGTATTCCATTAGGAATACAATATCATTTATTTAACTGGTTCTGTATAGATGAAAATTAGGTTGTTTAAAAATGCTTGCTGTCACAAAAGCTGCAATGGTTCACATGTATATCTTTGTACATATTTCATGTACATAAATGCAAGTAAATCTCTCAGGTAAATTCCTGGACGCGGAATTGCTGGATTGGAGGATTAAAACCATTGAAATGTTGCTTTATTCTACCGAAGTGCCAATTGTGATATTTTACCAATTTGCTACCCATCATCAAGGTATGACAGCACCTGCTTTCTACATCCTCATCAATGCCATGTTATCAGATTTTGAAATTTTATTTTGCAAATCTTATTGGTAAAATATATTTTATATTATGTTTTTCTTATGAATGAAGTCTATCATTTTACACGCTCAAGAACCATTTGTAAGTAGGGATTTTTAGTTTTGGTATAAAGATCTAGTTTTAGTGCACTGGAATGGTATAATTGCTACTTTTTTGTAAATAATTGATCTTTTATTCATGGTTAATATTCCATGGGCATTTGAAAAGGAAGTATAATCTTTATTTTCAAAATACAGAGTTTGATATTTAACTATTAGTTGTATTATTTAGTTATTTATATATACACAAACACACACACTAGTTTTTTGTTTGTCCAGTTGATCTGTCATGGAAAACTAGTAGTAAATTTATCTCCTAATACTAGTATGTTGCTATTTGTCCCTAGAATTCCCTGAGTTTTTACTTGGCAAATGATGATGCCCTGTTGTTTTGCTGGTTGATATTCATCACTATTTTATTTTCATTTTGAACTTCATGCTCCAGCATTGTAATGTGTCCTTTCATTTTGAACTGCATGTTTTAGCATTATAATACACCTTTCTCACTTGCTTAACTCTTTTTGTCCTGAATTCAACCTTGTCTGACATTAAGATCTCTACATCTGCTTTTTTGTGTGTGCATCTGTGTGATATTAAAAAAAAAAAAGAAGAGAATGAGGGATGGCGTGTTCTGCCACATATTTAAAAGCTATAATAATTGAAACAATTTAGCACTAGCCTCTTTTCATAAAAACTGACAAATAATGAGGGTAGTATAAATGAAACCATTAGGGGAGGGATGATTTCTTCACACTGCACTATAAGCTAAAATAAATGGACAATAATTAAAAACTGAACAAAAGCTCTAATGACATATAGGTGAATAGCTACATGATCTTGTGATGGAGGAGAATAAACATAAAAGCAATAGTATCAATCACAAAAGAAACAATCAATAGAAACACATTTTTTTAAAGCTGGGGGGAGGGCGGAGTTTGAGGTGAAAAAGGTAAAGTGAGTGCCAGAGCACTCCATGCTGCTTCTGCACTGCCCAGACTATAGACCTGACCCTGTACCACTTTCTGTCTTTTTTCTAACAATAGCATCCCCCAGTCACAAGACCACATACTGGATTCCTCTGTGTTTCTCTCTGCAGCTTCATTCCTATGTTCAAACAATGAATTTTCTATGAGGTCACTTAAAAATTAAATAATCAAAATAATTAGAATCAAAATGAAAACAGCAAAGAACAAATTGAAAAAAGAAATTCCAATAAATATGATGGAAAGGTGGTTAGCATCCTTAAAATATAAAGAATTAAATTAATAAGAAAAATATGAAAACCCTAGTAAAAATAAAGGGGTAAAAAGCACAAATAGATAATTCACTAAAAAAGAGGTACAAGTGGGTAATAAACAGAAGAAAACTGTCCAACTTCATCTAAGAAATGATAAGACAAAACAAATTTTTTGCTCATGAAATCAGCAGAGAGAGGAAAAAAGTTAACAGTTGTGGTTTGAGTATAACATCGTAGACACTCTCATATACAGACTGGGTAACATTGTTAATTGATAAAATGATGCTGGAAAAGAATTTGTTAATATTCAAAAAGAATACTAAAGAAGTTCATATTCTTTTATCTAAATTTCTTATATAGGAATCTATTTCAAAAATAGTTAGAAATTTGGCAGATTTGAATGCAAAAAATGTTTGATAACATTGTTGTGTTTATACCCCCAAAATGGGACATAATTTAAATGCCATTAATAGAATGGCTAAATAAATTAATAGTATGTCTATCTGATGAAAAAAAATCTATGCAGTCATTAAAAATATTTTAAAGGACATTAAATGATGCTGGTTGGATATTTCCCACAAACGTGTATAGAAAGCATAGAAGATACTCACCCTTGGAATAATGTAGGGTAGGTAAACTTCAAGACAGACAGAACATACTGAAAAACAAATACCAGGTTAATGGACATTTTCAAATTATAGTAAATTGATAAACCGTATAATCAAAGTAATCCCTACTGAAGAAACATAAGTACACTCAAGTTTCAAAAAAGGCTTTATACCTCCCAAAAATCACACACTGGGGAAAAAAATGACCTTCCAAGTCATACTAAAGACTTGACTTGTGGGTTTTCATGAAAGACCTGTTACTTTGCCCTTTCTGATGATTATATAGAAACAAAGTAAGGTCATTCTGTTTTTAAAGTGAAACAGTATCAATATATCCATCAGGTTAGCTAGACAAATTTGAATAGTTAAATGAAAAAGCCAGGTTTTCACAAATTCATATATTCCTGAGTAGGTCTACCACCAACTAATGTTCTTACTTTAGCTACCTGTCCCATGAGGAAAAGAACAAATCTGTTAAAAGTTAGTCATTATTGTGTCGTATCACAAGCAAAAGACTGTCTTCCCTTCCTCCTTTCCTTTCTTCTAGAGCACCTACCACTTATCTTATAGAGCATTTATCATAATGCTGGGCACTCGGCCACCCTGCTTATGAACATTATTTCAATTAATCCTCATAACTACCCTTTGAAAAGGACTTTTTAATCCCATCTTGAAATTCAAAAATTTAGGTTTAGAGAGATTAAAGTCCCAAAGGCCAAGAAGGTTGAGCCAGGATGCAAACATTATCACTGCCTTCCAGAAAGGTGGTACTACTGGATCTTCAGAAGCCCACCACCATAACTGAAAATTAACTGGACAAGGCGGAAGCGGAGTTCAGGGGCATCCTCTGAATATACGGAAGACAGCCACTCACATTAAGAAAGAAGGTATAAGAAAATGCTGTTTGTTAACAGTTCTTTTGCAAAGAGCAAGAGGGTTTTTTCCTCAGGAAGGGAGTGGGGAGAGAGCAGTAGAGACCTTTAGTGGGGGAAGGTGGTCCTGGGCCCTGTATCACGATGTTGGTTTAGTGTCCATTCCCAGAGTCTAGGATGGGGTGATGCCCTACTCTAGCCCATGGGGATCCAACATTTCCCTGCATGGTACCAAGTCCAAGGCTAGTTTCTCCCTGCTAACAAAACAAAAACATGGTACCACTGCTCTTCTGCCTCTTCATCAAAAGGGTTTTATAACATCACTTTAGACAAAATTAAGTTTACATTTTATTTTTTTAAATAATTCCACGAGAAACTCTTGAATACACTGGAAGTCCCTGGGATGGAGACAGTAAAAATAGGTTTGGAAATCAGTGGTGTGAGGCGGAAATGCAGATGGATTGATATCTTCTATTTAAAGGCTTCTGGAACCTTGTGGGGTTCTGAGGCAGGGGCGTGTTCAGAAGAGAAGGCAGGATGTGACTGATTCCTTCTCCTACTCTTTCATCTCCGAGGGAACAGGAGCCAGTTGTTTTTTTCTTTCCCTAAAAAGTAGTCCACATATCCCAAAATTAAGTTCCTGAGAATTCACCAGTCAAAAAACCTGGCTTCCCAGGAAATGTAAGGACGATATCCCAGGACGATAAATGGGGACAGTACTGTCCAACAAACCTATTTCTAAAAAAGCATCGTACACAGAGTCGTCGTCTTCTCCGTCATCATCAGCAACAAATCAATTAAAAATCTGGAGGCAGCATTTGCTCCGCGTACGATTTGGGAACTCAGATCCCCCACTGCCAATCTTCACGACCCCACGCCCGCCCCCCTCACCTTGTTCGTGAGGTAAGAAGCCAAGTAGCAGATACAAAACGTGAGGCCGACCAGGCACCTCCTCATGTACATCTGTCAACTTGCGCTCCTTCCCGGGGACCCCCCCGGGAGCCCCACAGCCGCCGCCAGAGCCGGGCCACCGCCGCCGCGGCCAGGACCGCCACGTGGCTGCGAGCTCCGCCAATCGGCGCGGGGACCGCCCCCTGCGCCTGCCTTTAAAGGGGCCGCGCTTCCGCAGGCTCTGCAGCCTGGCGGTGGGCGGGGCGGCACCCAGCGTGCCAGTGCTGCGACCCTGTGGAGAGCAAGAGAGGACAGTTGTCCCTGTAAAAAAGTAGAAAATGATAGAGGAGGGGGAAAAAAGCAGTTGACAAAACAGTCCACAACACTCTATTAGCATTTAGAGAGAAATGTTTACGAATATTAGCTCCAACCGGTGGACCAGACTGTTGTTTGTGCTTTACTGAATTTTGTTTTCTACATTCAGTCTGTATTATTTTTGCAAACGGCATCTAAAAAGCTAACAACAATAAATGCTATTTTAAAGGAAGGCCAGGGTGAGGGGGAGGGACTATAACGAGAATAGTTTTTCCTTTAGGAGACGTCAATCCAATTGCTTTGAAATTTCCTTAAAGTAAGAAATCCTTCAAAAAGTAGAGTTTCAAGCACAGCGCCTGTTCCTAGCCTCTAGGGTGGAAAACTGACCTAGTTAGGCTTCGGGCAGATGGTAGCACACACTGATGGACTCTGTCAGGAACTAGAGATACAAGTGTCCCAGCATGTAGAAACTCACAGGTTTTTAGAAATATCCCACATGCCAGGAAACCGTCACTCTTTTTTTTATCTGTATTCCCAATCTAAAATTGCTTATCAGACTATATTATCCAAGAAAATATTGGATACATTGTCTCCATAGAAAACACAAATAAACTAAAAAGTTATTTTTCCTTGATATTATTTTAGGAAACCTATTTCTGAGCTAAAGAGTCCTTACAAAGAAGATTTTTGCCCAAAAGAATTTGCTTGAAATTAGTGGTTATTATTTACCTGAGATTTCCCTGAGCTCTCTTAGTAGATGAAAAAATTCAATTCAGACCTTATTTCCCAGTTATTGCCTAACTTATTTTCTCTGACAGAATTTGCTTAGCAAGCAGGAACAACTAGAACAATAAAGAACCATACAAATAGGAGTTGACATTTGTAGCAAAAGTGCTGATAGATCTTACCAGAGACTGATTTTTCCAAAGCTGCATTATTCTGTTCCACAAAACAAAGACTGAATAAAAATCAAGTCTTACATTGAAAAACAACAAGGTGATATGTGAGACTAAGTTAGACCTTCTATACACACACACACACATACACATAATTGAACTATTTGTATTGTTAATTGAGATCTATGAGACCAAAGGGTCATAGTTATTTATTTACTTTTTGAAAATTGATCCATAAACCCTCAACAAATGTTTATTGAATAAAAAAAGAGGGGAGCTTGGATTAAACAATTCTTTGTGGGGTTTTTCCTCTCATTAATCTTTTTAAATAATGTGTCTGTGTGTGTTTTTTGACAGCACACATGGACAATTCTCAAAAGATGACAGAAGCAACTGTATACTCTTCAAAACTCCCTAAATGCCCCTGAGAGAAGAATATCAAAATCTCTTTCATTTAGTTTGCTCATGATTCACTGTATTTGAGGATTCATAACTTACATTAGTTCTAGGGGGAAAATGTCTTTCTCACATTCTGTGTATTCTCTTTTTAAGGAATTCATATTAACTTTACCCCCTCTTGTATCTCAGTTTCATCCTCAGTAAAGTTGAGATAACGGTAGAATTCACCGCTCAGGGTTATTTTGAGGACTAACGAGTTACCGCTGTACTTTGAACATGGATATAATTAATGCTTAGCTACTTTTATCCAGACACGTTATGAAAATCTCCCTACAAAATACCGAATCAAAACTTTTATTATGCTGCGGTATTTTTGCTCAATGTTACGTAACACACTTCACAAAATTTCACATCCCACTCCCCGCCTCCTAACGACAACTGCAATTACAACAAAATCCGACCGTCTTCTCCAGTCTCCCCTCTCTAAACCTGCCATTTTCCGTCTCCGGTACCATCCCAGTTTAGAATTCACCCGGGAAATAATGAATGAACAGACAGCTTGGTTTGCTTGTTTACATATAGTCCACGCAGCCTTCCGTCTAACTAGATCCAGCGGCCGTCTCCGGCAGCCAGGGAGGCGGAACAGGTACAGGGTAATGCCTGGCCAGAGGAAGCCACACCCGGCCGCTGTACTGCCAGGCAAGGGAGACAGTGACCACCAGTCCCCGGCTTGGGGCAGCGACCGGAAGTGCGGTCCTCCGGGGGCGGGGAATGGTGACCTAATGCGGAGCCGGGCAGCGGCCAATGGGAAGCGAGCGTTCCCGCGTAAAGGGCGGAAGAGAAGAAGTCTGATTCCGGACGCGGCCGCCGCCGCCGCCATCTGTCACCTCAGCTCCGGCACCAGCAGCCTGTCGCCTCTGCCCCACTGCCTGTCTCCTCGGCGGAGGCTGCCTCCCGGTCCTGCCACCTCTTTGTTCTGTTCTGGTCGCCAGCTGCTTCTCCCACATGGATCTGGTTGGAGTGGCATCCCCTGAGCCTGGGCCGGCAGCGGCCTGGGGACCCAGCAAGGTGAGTGGCTGTCGGGGCTGATGTACCTGCCTTAGTCACCGGGGCTGGTCCTCTCGGAAGGCCTGGAGAGGGTGGCAGGCGCCGAGGAGGCTCCGCAGGCGACTCGAGAAATTCTGGGCGAGACCCCGGCCACCTCAGAAAGGAAGGAGAGGACGGGCGGCGGGGCTGCCGCAGCGGGGAAGGAGAGGCAGGGACGGGGCGCTGGTTAGTGGGACCCTGGGTGGTTTGGAGCCTCTGCCTAGTTCTATACCTTGATTTCTGAACCTCTGTAGCGTGTATTTGAGGAGGACTCGCTTAGAGACGCTGACATTTGAGAGAAAGCAAGCCCCAACTTGTTTTTCACGGGCTAAGTGAGTCAGCCCAATTACACACAAAAAGCCGGACAGAAGGGTGGTTAGGAAGCTGTTTCCTTAACTTGGCAAGTGTGGTTATCCTACTTCGGCAGTTACTTGTTTTTGGAGTAGTAAGAGATAAATACAGGCACACCCTCTCTCCCCTAATGTTTACATACTGCAAGACGGTTATGAATGCTCATCTGCTTGGGCTTTAACGTTTAAGCTTTTTCCTGTAATGTCTAAGTATAATGTTTATTTCACATTTCACATTTGGATTCTGGTTTCAGGCTGCTCCTTTTCATGATACTTTCATTAGAAGAATGAAAAGACTCTTCTTCCACTTGTGGAGGGTTTGCTTGAAAGCACAAGTGCTTCAATAGGGATTTTTGTGTTCCTCAAATTAAAGTAGTGAAGGAATCCACTCTTTTAGCTTCATAATTGTTCTTTTTTTAATCTAATGGACATGTGACCATATATTAATTTAAGGTGTACAACATAATTTGATATATGTATATATTAAACAAAATGCTCACCACAGTAAGTCTAGTTAATATACAGAGTTACAAGTTTTTGTTTCTTGTGATGAGAACTTTTAAGATTTACTTTCTTAACAACTTTCAAATATGCAATACAGTATTGTTAACTGTAGTCATCATGTTGTACATTACATCCTCATGACTTTTTTTTTTTGTAACTGAAAATTTCTACCTTTTGACCAGCTTCATTCATTTCACCCACTGAACATTTGTTCGATTTAAAGGGTCACTTGTTAATCTCATTGGCTGTTAGGCTAGATGTTAACAGAAAGTGGGGGAAATAGCCATTAAGTAAAGGGAATTTTTATAAAAGTTCTCATACAACCACAGGGAGAATTCTCAGATATTCCACTGGCAAGTGTGGTTACATCTATGTGTTACTTTGTGTATTTTTTTCTATTAGGGCCTTGTTTACAAGACCAAGATCAGTAGACCTGAAAGGATGAAATCAGAAGAGAGATACTAATAGATATATCCTTACATGTTAAATTCCTCCAGTTAAGCATCTATATAAGCTTGTGAAAATGTCAACTGAGACAAAGTTTGTTCAGAATACCTAACTTCACAACAAATTTCACTTACAAAATCAATTCAGTAATAAAATATTTGTCATCAGTCATATTTTCACTTATGTGTTCATCATCAGAACTATAAAATTTCATTTTCATCTTTTAACAAGAATATCATCCTGGGGTTTATTGATGCTCCAATGGGAAGACAGCATTTTCATAGGCAAAACAATTAGATGTTGTAAGTATCACTTAATCCTTTCCTTCTCTAACTTCTTGGAAGAGTAAAGTGATTATAGAAGCCTACATGGAGGAGTGGAGATTTGAGAAAAGTCTTGGAAAATGGAAAGAATGTCAAAGGCCAGTGATTCTCAAAACTTTTCCATCAGGACTTCTTTACAGTCTTAAAATACTACTGAGGACCCCAAAGAACTTTTGTTTATATTGATTATATCTATTGATATTTGTCATATCAGAAATTAAAACTGAGATGTTGAAAATGTTTATCAAGTGATCTAAGTCATTATGTTAATATAAATAACATTTTTCTGTTTTGAAAATCTATTTTCCGAAACAAAAGTAGTGAAGACTAGTATTGTTTTGTATTTTTGTAAATCTCTTTAATGTCTGACGAGATAGCAGACAGCTGGATTCTCATAGCTCCTTTTTACTTCAGTCTGTTGCGGTACGTATTAGTTGAAGTAGACGAAGTAAGTCCATCCTCACAGATATGTAGATTATAGCAGGTAATCAAAGCAAAACTGCGTTAATCTCTAAAACTGTGCATTTATATCTTAAACCTACTACCTTAGAAAATTTTGGAAAACACAAGAATACACGTGCACACATTCAAGTGGCCACTAGAGTGCTGTGATTATATCTGATACAGACTCTGGAAAACTCCACACCATGCCCCTGAGAGAATGAGAGTGGAAAGACAAAGAGTATCGTAGAACTATCATGAAAATAATTTTGACCTTTTAGACACCCTGAAAGGGACTTG